CAAACCTTTCTAGCAGCCTCAACTCCATCAGCACATCCACAGTGATAGACAGCCTACAGAGAGGGTAGGGCTGGGGCGTGGCGATCAGACCTGACCATCACACCTAGGTGCAGCATTGTCAAGAGGAATGGAAGCCAAAAATTGGAACAGGCCAAAACCAGTTTGGCTCAGTGGATAGAACATAGGCCAGTGGACTGAAAGGTGCCAGGTTCGATTCTGGTCAAGGGCATGTACCTTGGTTGTAGGCACATCCCCCGTAGGGGGTGTGTTGGAAGCAACTGGTTGATGTTTCTAGCTCTCTATCCCTCTCCTCTCCCTTCCTCTCTGTAATAAGTCAATAAAATATATTTTAAAAAAACAAAACAAAACACTGGAACAGACATTTTAAGGAAGCCTCCAATGTAGAAGACAGAGCCCAAAACAAACAACAAGAAAACCAATCTGATAAAATGCAACAACTCAAGGAAACTTCAAAGTATAACAAGGTATAAAAAGAGCAGGATTCTTAAAAATATATATATATATATATGGAAACTGAGAAACAAAAAAGGGAAAGCTGGTGGAGAAGGTGGAGAAAGAGACACAGTAATGAGGAAAAATCCTAAACGAGGGTCAGAACCCAGGATGAGACAGAGGCCAACAGTAAAGTCTCAGAAAGGCCTGCCTGTTTCTTTTTCAGAAATCCACTTGGAGAAAAACCAAAAAAGGGATGCCTTGGTCAGAGCTGAAGACTGCTGGGGAACAAACTTCTTTAACAAATAGTATTACTTTAAGGAAAATCAAAGACAAGATTAGAAAGGACAGTTGGAAATGCCTGAGAATCAAATCCACCAGAACAAGGAGCGCTGTCATGTGTAAATCAAAGGCCAGGAAGGGCCTGCAGTCAAACAGACCCAAACCCCAGCCTGCCGGTTAGTAGCCATGAGCTCCCAGATCAGCCCTGACTCTCAGGGGAGGTCAAGGACCTTGCCTGCCCTGCTGAAATTCAACCGTAGCTACGAATGCTGCTAAAACAGGAATTTATTGATCTGACATTCAAATCAGATATAATTTAAGTCAAAGAGGCACCAGAAGAGCTGTACTAGGTTAGGCAGCTGATCGGTGGCTAGAATTTAATTGCCCAGGTTAAGAGTAATTAATTTCTGATGATCATTTCTAACCCTTACACTTTCTCTTAGTTTTCTAGGCTGTAAGCCTCAAAAGATACTGTGTTGGCCTAGTCTGTTTCATGTGAACCGTGAAGGTGGAAGTGCAGAAAGCTCCTAGAGCCCCTTGGTGGGGGCAGCAGGGAAGCCTGTGGGCAGAGACACAGAGCCTGGAGGGACGTAACAGAGAAGCCCCGACTCCTTCCCACCACCTTCCCTCACGGAAGGAGACCCATTTCAGTGACCAGGTCTCACTGACGCTTCTGTAAGCCACTCTAAATGGTGCACAGACAGACCTGAGAGTCTATGTGGTGTTTGAAGCAACTGAAAGTCAGCACAGATCAGACCTGTGTGAAGCTTAGCCAAACAATAGGACAGAAACGTCCCGGCTCTGTCGGAAACCAGAGCCTTTCAAAAATGTTACAAAACCACGGGCGAACCTTAACCGGTTTGGCTCAGTAGAAAGAGCGTCAATATGCAGACTAAAGGATCCCAGGTTCAATTCCGGTCAAGGGCATGTACCTTGGTTGTGGGCACATCCCCAGTGGGGGGTGGGCAGGAGGCAGCTGATCAATGTTTCTGTCTTATTGATGTTTCTAACTCTCTATCCCTCTCCCTTCCACTCTGAAAAAAAAAAAAATCATTAAAATATATTAAAAACAAAACCACCAAAAAACACACGGGTGAAAACGCATGCATTCCTTCCAAGACATCAGTTTTTTAAAAACTTTTTGATGTCAAATAAGTTTATCCTCCAGATCAAATTTCCTTTTTAAGACTAAAATGCTGAGTACCTACTTCTGAACTCACTGAGACCTTGAGGAAATAGTAAAGTAACGCCTGCCGACATTCTAACGCCAACTGCCACCTGCTCTGTGTCCCTGGACAACCATCTATTTCCTCTCAGCTTCAGTCTCTGTTGCTTTATCAGAAAATAAAATTGTTGGGCAAGATGGTCCTTGTGGTTCTCTTCAAGTCTAGATGAAACCCCAGCACCTAAGACATGCCAGCCCCTCCTTTTCCACAAGAAAGACCTTACCTTCTTCGTCGAGTCCCCCGATGATGTTGTAAACGTAGTACGGAAAGAAGCGCCGTGAGTAGAGGATTGTGGACAACATTGCTGCAATAGCCCCCGTGGTCATGGCCTTGTTATTGGAATGCTTGTACATCTGCCATTTTAAACAAAAATAGGTATGTAGAGGCAGACTATATTTATTATAGGCTACAACAATGAATAATACAGGGAAAAGAATAAGTGCATATCTTGGTGAAAGAAAAGATACCTGTTTCTCTCATGATAAAAATACACAATATTACTAAGGTAAAATAATTCACTATACCCTATCACTTTGGGAGGAATAAGAATTTTTAGAGGAAAGAACACTAAGTTTGCCCTCTAGTATCTGGTTTACAGACTATTTCCCATGTCATCCTTATTCCAAGACAAAGATACAAACTCCAGAGCAAACTCACACCAACCCAGCTCTTCACTCCGCATAGACCAGTCAGAAAACTGTAGCCGTGGGCCAAATCCAGCCCCACCCATGACTGTAAGCAGTTTCTCTCATCATGACATGCCAGCTACAGCTGCTTCTGAGTTTCAACAGCAGAGCTGAGTGTTGCCACCAAGACCTAGTGATCCACAAAGCTGAGACACTTCCCATCTGGGCCTTTGTAGAGTCTGTGAGCCCTGATCAGATGCAGGTCGAGGCCCCTCTTGGCACAGCAGCCTCGCCTGAGAGCAGAAATGAGGCCTCAGAATATAGGACAGGTGTGGTCTTGCTCCTAAAGCCCCTGCAGTGAGGACAGGAGCCTCCGAACCCAGGTGACATTCACATTCAGAGTCCCAGCCCACATTTATTTCACCCGTGGGAACCCAAACTTATCCAACAGACTGAGGAATCTTACCAAATAGCAAATATAACATCAAGTTCCCCAAATTGTCAGCCACATAGCAACCATCTCTAAAGAGACACCTAGGAGGTACTGTGGAATCATCAGTGACAAAGCACTCAAGACACAAGTGGTATATGTGTTGGTGTCCAGAAGAATGTTTTCCGAGGTGAAAGTCATACAAAATTTTAATTTCCTTTTATTTCAAAACCAAACCCCATTTATTCACCTCACCATATATGTAATAATGTATCGAAGAAACATTTCAGGAAGTATTGTGCACTAAGTTGATCTCATTGATTCTTGTTTTATTTAACAAAACAGCTCTCCCTGTCATGTTTATTTTTGCCCTCTAAGTCCCATTTACAAAATATGTATTAGAAACCACACACAGGTCAATAAATGTAAGTTGCTGAAGCTTGCAATGTAAGTGGAATCCTATCTAATAAGAGTAATATGCAAATTAACAATCACCCCTGCTATACCCACAAGCCACACCCACCAGCCAATCAGGAGCGAATATACAAATAAACCCAACCAAGATGGCTACGGCCACAGAGAGCAAGAGGGAGGCTTGGGTTTCCCCAGCAATGGAGGAAGCCAAACTTTCCGCCTGCCCTTGCAAGCCTAGGCCTCCACTCAAGGCTATAAAATTTCAATTATAGAAGATAACATAAACCCAAACAGAAAAGAGTTGGAAAGAGCAGGCGGCTAGAGTTGCTCTGGGTGATGGAGGAAGTCAAGCTTTCTGCACACCCTGGCCAGACCACGCCTCTGCCTAAGCCTACAAAGTTTCAATTATAGAAGATACAAAAATCCGAATAGAAATGGCTGCTGCCACTGAGCAAGCAAAAGGCTTGGCTCCACTCCAGGTTATGAAGTTTCAATTGTAGAAGATAAAAAAACTCCAGATACCAGGGCCTCCACTTGGGTTGCCAGGTGGCGTGGCCTGAAAACCACCTCAGGCCCCTTGCCCAGGCCGCCCCATGCCCCAAGGGAACCCCTACCCTGATCCAGAACACCCTTCAGGGCAAAACAGCCCCTACCCGTGCACCAGGCCTCTATCCTATCTAATAAAGGAGTAATATGCAGATTAACCATCACTAGAACACACAAGATGGCTACCCCTATGTGGACCCAAGATGGCCAACCCCAAGATGGCCAGCAGGGGAGGGCAGTTGGGAGGGACCAGGCTTGCAAAAGAAGGCAGTTGAGGGTGATCAAGCCTGCAGGGGAGGACAGTTAGGGGTGGCCAAGCCGGAAGAGGAATGAGACCAACCTTTAGCAAAGGGCTGACACATCACTGCCTGAGGCATGAGCTGTGAAAGAAGGCAATTGGGGGCGATGAGGCCTGCAGGAAAGGACAGTTGGGAGGGACCCAGGCCTGCAGAGGAGGGCAGTTAGGGGCAAACAGGCTGGCAGGGGAGCAGTTAGGCATCAATCAGGCTGGCAGGGGAGTGGCTAGGGGATGATCAGACTGAAAGGCAGAAGAGGTTGGGGCAATTAAGAAGGCAAGCAGGTGAGCAGTTGGGAGCCAGCAGTCCTGGATTGTGAGAGGGATGTCTGACTGCCCGTTTAGGCCCGATCTCTGATTCTCTCAAGGGGTCCCAGATTGGAGAGAATGCAGGCTGGGCTGAGGGATCCCACCAACCCCCATGTATGAATTTCTTGCCTCTAATTTTTAAATAAGTATTAACAACCAATAAATACTGAATCAGATAGCTCCTACATATGCAAGAACTACGTGTCAGATGAGTAAGGCACTGCGTAGTCCAGTGAACACACCACTCGCAGGGGGAACATCTCAGATGTTACAAACAGGCAGGCAAACATGGTCACTACTGCTCATTTCTTCATGTACCAGGTGGACCAACCAACCACTTAAAAACTGTGACCACAACCTACAAAATTAAATGAGGAACCAAGGGCATTGGAACTGACACTGCAAATACCACCAACAGCTCTGTCAAAATCTCACTAGACTACATTTCTTTTTTTCTTTTCTTTTTTATACAAACACTTTATTAACAGTGGCGCATCTTCCCCGTGGGCTCTGTGTTCACGCAGTCTCCGTGCCTCTCGCTCGGACTCCAATAGGGTGAGCACGTCGCCCTCGCGCACAGGGCCTTTCACGTTGCGGATGATGGAGCGGCTCGTGTCGTCCACGAACTCCACGCGGACCTGCGTGCACTGTCCCTGGGAGCCGGTCCTGCCCAGCACCTTGATCACCCTGGCCAGCTTGATGGGCTGCACGCGACTCGTGTCCATGATGGCGGCAATAGTCGGGCGGAAAAAAAACTAGACTACATTCTGAATGCTGACAATGGTGACTGTGAGTTCTAGCCCTTCTGATTGCAGTAAAATCCACCTAACAGTCCAAACACTCCTACCCTAGTCTGGAAGCAACTAGAAGCAAATGCTTACTATACACTAATCCAAGTCCAGACCCCCCTTGCTTCATCTGAGTCAATCACAGCTCATGCCTCAGGCAGGGACGTGTCAGCCCTTTGCTAAAGGTTGGTCTCATTCCTTCTTTCACTTCTTCCTAACACTGCCTCTCCTCTCTCCCATCCCACCGGCCTCAATTAAAGCCTGTGAAGGTAGTAGGTAATATTGGCTTTCCCCTTCCTACTCCTACCCATAAGTTCTGTCTGTAAGGGACAGGGGGGGAAAACACATCAGCTGACAGGATTCCAGACCAAGCTCCCATCAAAAAGCTTGTTTTCTCCACAGAAGTCGATCCGTTTTGTTTTTTAGGGAAGAAGAACCCCATTCCTGCTGCCTCAAAAAAGGGCAGAAATCCTTTCTGTTGTAGGGATCTGACAGGTGGATCTGTTGTGGTTTCATGTTCTTTTTGTTAATGACGCTGCATCGATAGGTAAGTTTGTCATATTAACCTAGCGCTTCTCCAGCTATTCTGAGCAGCAGCCACACCATGTCCGTAAAAGTGTCTAACGAGTTATTAACTTCCAATAGTCAGACATGTAAGACGCATTTACCTTTAGTCTTGCTTCAATAATCTTCGTCAGGGTTAGACAGTCTCCATGGAAACCGCTGCATCCAATGACTGTTTTGTCTGTTCTATAAAAAGCACATTTCAGGACATTGAGTTGGTTAAACAGTAAAGCAAAACACATGTTGGGCAATGCTAAACTTAAAACTTCTATTCCCATTGTTCACTGGATGGTAATGGGACAACTGCTATTGCCATTCAGTGAATAATGGAAATGGGGAAATGTCTGTAACTGGATACCTAATTCCTTACATCACATAAATTTTAGAGAAAAATACAAAGTTTAAAAGAAAAAATAAGATAATGTATTAGTAATACATATGACCAAAGTCCAGCTTTAACTTTGTGTACAATTAGGAAAATCGTTAATACCGCAAGGGATTATGGGGGTGTAACATGCAACATGGTGGCTGTCGTTACTGTCGTACATATTTGAAGTGGGTGAGATAAGTTCTCATTACAATAAGTAAATCTGTGCAATATGTGCGTGGACAGTTTTTACCTAGACCAGTGGTCGGCAAACTGCGGCTCTCAAGCCACATGCGGCTCTTTGGCCCCTTGAGTTTTAAGCAAAGTCCAACTTAGGAGTACCCTAATTGAGTTAATAACAATGTACCTACCTATATAGTTTAAGTTTAAAAAATTTGGCTCTCAAAATAAATTTCAAACGTTATACTATTGATATTTGGCTCTGTTGACTGAGTTTGCCGACCACTGACCTAGACTTACTGTGATTATTTTACATTACATGCCAATTAGAATCATGTTGTACATCTGAAACTAAGATGGGTAAAATGTTATGACAGTCAAATAAAGGTAGACACAAGTCACCATAAACATATGAAAAGAGCCTCCTGGTTTCTCAGAAATCCAAATCTAAACAAGAGACGATTTCCACCTATTACCCTGGCTGTAATGCCTCGTGCTGGCAGCTTTTGGAAAATGGTCCTCTCAGATGCTGGGAAGAAGTACGCATCAATCTCACCCTCAGGAGGTGACTGGCTAGATCTAGCAAAGGGTTAAGCGCATATCACTTTCATACAATAATCCCACTGCCAGAGATTCATCATGTCAGCAAGTTTGCAAAGACATGTTCTAGATCACTTGTGTGAGTATACATACTATTGTAATGGCTCTCCAAAACAACAAATAAAAAACATCCCACCCGAGGGAAACTGGTTTAATTTTGGTTCATCCCTACAAGTTCAACATGTCTCAAAAATTAACCTGTGAATCTGGGTATTAATCTATAAAGAAAGCTAAACCAACCTTGTCAAGAACTATTTAGCATAGGCCATGATTTCTGTTGTGTATTTGAAATTTTTCATGACAAAATGTTGAGATGAAAATATTTAGGTTATGGCCCTAAGTGGTTTGGCTCAGTGGATAGAGCGTTGGCCTACAGATTGAAGGGTCCCAGGTTTGATTCCAGTCAAGGGCATGTACTTTGGTTGTGGGCACATCCCCAGTAGGAGGTGTGCAGGAAGCAGCTGATGTTTCTCATTGATGTTTCTAAATCTCTCTTCCTCTCTCTTCCTCTCTGTAAAAATTAAATATGTTTAAAATAAATAAATAAATAAAAATAATCTTAAAAGAAAATATTTAGGTTATGAAAGGCACTGTTGCTTAAACCGGTTTGGCTCAGTGGATAGAGCATCGGTCTGCGGACTGAAAGGCCCCAGGTTTGATTCCGATCAAGGGCACATACCTTGGTTGCGGGCACATCCCCAGTAGGGGATATGCAGGAGGCAGCTGATCCATGTTTCTCTCTCATCAATGTTTCTAGGTCTCTATCCCTCTCTCCCTTCCTCTCTGTAAAAAAACCCGATAAAATATATATATTTTTTAAAAAAGAAAGGCACTGTTGGTATCCACAAATGGCAGATACCATGAACACTACATAGTAAATTATTAGGAAATACTAATTTGTAAAATTGTTTCCTAACAAAAATGCAAGCTAAGCCCCAAACAGGGGCGGTCTAAGAAGTCACACAACACACTGTTTAGAAGTTAAATTTCTGTAGCAATAAATTACTACAAGGAGCTGGGAAATGTGGAATTAGAAATTTACTTACAATTTGTAACATTTGGGACTGTCCCGGGTGTGGATTGAAAACCCTTCACTCAATCGAGTATCAGAAGCAACAATGGAAAAATCTTCTCCAGCAATAGCCAATACAGTACTGAGGAAAAAAGGACAAAAAAAATTAATGAATCCTCCTGGATGGTAAACAAGCCTGACCCAACAGAAGGGTGCGGGCCCAGTTCTGACCACTGCAATAAAGCGAGTATCACAACAGAGTGAGTCACAGTTTTTGGGTTCTCTGGGCACAGAAAAGTTACATTTATACTACACTGAAATAAGTGTGTAATACTATTATGTAATTTTAAAATGTTATTGCTAAAAAATGCTAACCACTTGTAAAGAACACATCATCTGTGAGCACATTAAACACAACACAAGGTATGGCTGCACTGGAAAAAATCACTGAATACGAGCAAGAGCAGGATTCAGATAGAAGAGGTGAGATCAGGAAAGGAGCCCTGGCTACAAGTCACCTGGAAAAATATCCAGAATTCTTTAAAATACAAGTCTACATCACAGCAAAGGGTCCATAGTGGGAGGTAAAAGAAGAGCCACAAAATTATCATCATTATTAAAAATTAAATGCCTGCCCTGCCGATGTGGCTCAGTGTTTGAGCATCAACTTATGAACCAGGTCATGATTCCATTCCTGGTCAGGGTACATGCCCTGGTTGCGCTCAAGCCCCAGTGTGGGGTGTGCAGGAGGCAGACAGTCAGTGATTCTCTCTTATCATTGATGTTTCTAACCCTCTCTCCCCCTCCCTTCCTCTCTCTGAAATCAATAAAAAAATAAAAAAAATATATAGACTGAGAAAAAAGGTAACTCAGTTTAATAATCAGAAATTCATAGAGCTTAAATTGGATTACAAGAGGCTAAAAAGTGAGAAATGAGTACTGAATATTCAAAATCTTGCACAGTCTTAGAATTCACAACTGCCTTTTGAAATGAGTCCAATAGCCACCTTATGACATAACTATTCCATCAGTTGCCACCAAAAGTGTTAGAAGTGAAACAGTAAAGCATAAACTCAGTGGCCACAGATATATGGATTCAAATCCTGGCTCAACTTCACACCGGCCTTGTAGCTGGAGCCCCAGGGTCATTGTAAAAACGGGCTAATACCATCTAATACTCAGGGCAGCATGAGGATGAAAAAATCTAACTGCTGGCAATTTACAAAATGCTTGATTCTCCTCCAAACTCTAAGAAGCTAAGGAAGAGAAGGGCATTTGTGTTCAAAAAGTGGAGAGGCCACATTGCCCTTTAGTGGCAGGCACAAGGCTAAAATCATATCTTCCACCACATCCCAAAAATATGCTTGAATACTTCAAATCCACAAGACCTGATTAAATAAACTGGTGTGTTCCAGCTGGTGTTTGCTTTACGTAGTTTGGTCGGTAAACTGCAACACTGCCTCAATTTACAGCTGCCAAGAGTCCTTAATGGACTAATTCAACCCTAATTCTTTCAGTGTTTATCAAGGAAAAGCACCACGTAATATAAAGCTGTATTTTTATTTTTAAAAGGACTACTTAAATGTAACATGCAAGATAACATTTTTAAAGGCCCTCTTCTGAGTATTTTCCCCCGGAGTTAAGCTAAATCTTAAAAAAAACAAGCATTGAACTATGAAACGAAGCCTGGCCAACTAATGCTACTTTCTACCTAAAATAACAGAAGACGATTAAGTTGTGTGATCAGCCCTTGTGGCTCCAGACACAACTATGCATCTCCAACGCGGACGGATCCACCCTCAGACACTCCACTGTCCGTTGCTGCCGGTGGGTCCCTCCGGGAAGCTCCCCCGCAGCGGAGGCCGGACTTCGTGACAACCTGCGGCCTCACTGCCCACTGGCCGACCGCACCGAGACCCAAGTGATGGGCCCAGAGGACAAGCCACCCGGAGACGGAGGCCCTCAGCACACCGGAGGGCGTGAGCAGAGCCCGGGATGGGGAGCGACTGTGAGGCCTCACCCTCCGTTGAACGCGTAGGGCGAGAAGCGCAGCTGCACGGGGCCGGCGCCGCGCGGCTCCATCGCCATCTCTCGTCCAGGACCCCAAGACACCGCTGCAGAGGACAACATCGCCGGCACCCGCTCCTGCTGTCTCACCCCGAGATGGCCACCCAGCCGGAAGTAGGAAATCGCGCCACTTCCGGTTGTCCCGCGGCGCTCCCTCTGGTCGCCCGGGCGCGCAAAGGTGCCCGGTTTCCAGAGGTCCGCGTGGCTGCTGGGCCCCCCACTCCAAGAAAGCTGACGGAGGTGTCAGGGTTTTCTTCCTTAAGAAAACACCCGAATTCACTTTGGATGTACAGGAATTTTAAAGCCTGACCATACAAAAATAATTGCCAACACTACCGCGCATCGCAAAGTCGGATCGTCTACGGGAGTGCAAGTTGGTGCGGCAGAATTTGGAAAGTGACTGGCATCACCTGGCATCTTTGGAGAGCACACCTGCACTCCCAGCAGTTAAGCTTCCCGGTGTGTACTACGCCAGAAGGCATGTGCAAGAATGTCCACATAGCATTGTCCCAAATAGTCCCAAACTGGAAGTGAGCAAATATCCACAAACGCAGGCATATGTCATATCAACGACGGTTAACCGAAGTCCGCTAGCGAGGGGTCTTCTGTCGGGACACGCTACATAACAGGACACAGCTGGAAGGGCCGGCAGTACTCGGCTTCCTGATTTATAACCTCCTGTTCATCTGGACGTGTGTTTTCACTTCCTTATGTGAACATTATATTTTACAATTTTCTTAAAAGTCCTTTTAAAAACGGACGGAGAAACTGAGGCGGAGAGGCAGGCAACCGGCCAAAGATCACGCAGACAGTCGCTTTGCCTACTTCCAGTAATGACCAATGAGAAGACACGGACCAGCGGGCCCCGCCCCGGAACTCCCGAATGGCTCTGCCTCGCCCCACAAGCCCTTCAAAACGCTTATCCCGGGAAGCCCCGGAAGTGACGCAAGCCCACACTTCCCAGCACCGCCCCCCGGGCGTGGCCCCGCGCTGAAGCCGAGCGTGCACTGGCGGAAGTGACGTTATAAACGTGCGCCGGGAGCTCCGGAGGGTCGGCCGGGGTCGCCGCGGCGGGCGCCTGGGCCGCCGGCCGTTAGACTAGGCCTCCGCAGGTGGTGTTGGCGTCAGCAGTGGCCCCAGGTAACAGCCGCCTTGGCCTTTCTCTCCTCCCAGGGCCGTACGAAGAGGACCCTGCGACGGGGCCGCCTGGAGGCCCGGAGGAGGCGGATGAGCGCCCAGGCCGCGCGGGAACGCTCTCCGTTGGAGCCGACGCCCCCCGCCGCCACTCCGGGCGGACGCGGGGTCGGGTCCTCCTGTGCTGCCGCCGTCTCTCCTTTTCGTTTTTGTATATGCAGCACTAATGAGGTTTTAGAGTAACGATGTCCAAAAAGAAACTTTTCACATCTCTGACACTTTCTGAAGCGGGGTTCTCGTTTTCACGTTTTTGGCCTGTTTTTCAGGAGTGTGGCTCGTTTTCCTCACAGTGATCATCGGATTCTTTGGTCCGTTCTGGAAATGTCAGTGTTTGCGCTGCAGCAGCTCATGCTTGAGTGCATGTGGGTTTTGACTTTTAACTTGTAACTAAGACCCGCAAATCTAGTGAGAACGTCCTATTAGATAATGTTTAAACTGATGTCTAGTGATAATGTCACACGTTTATCCTGTGGGACAACGAGGTGCTGTGTGTGATCATCACTTAACTTAGTGATTCAACCGGTTCCCAGGGCAACAGCCCATCCAACGGAACGGAACAGAACACGGGGTCTTTGAGCAGAGTCACTTATTTTGTCTAAAAGTTACTTCAAAAATTAAGCCAAGAAAAAAATAGTAATTTAACGAAAGCCAGATACAGATACACTTTGTATTTATGTCTTCCAGAGAGGTAAAGTTATTACATAAAACAGACAGCTTCTACAGTGTTTTACTGAAGTGGCAGGTCAATAAGTGATCACACTAAAGTGTATTGGATCCAATAAAATGTTTATTGAATTCAATGCCTAAGACACTGAAGTTATAAAACTAATTGGAATATTTAAGAACCTGAAATTGGCCTAATAGGGCTGTGTACATAGAGTAAACTCAGGCATAAAGTTTGCTTGGTTGTTTTCTCTGGGTATTTTCCCCCCAAAAATTTCAGTGCTGATTATGACACCTTAATTTTGAACATTAGGAGTATTTAAATTAAACATGTAACAAGACAGTTTTGTCCTTTTGGTAGTTTTGCATGCAATCACAGGCAACATGGAAGGAATAAGCTTTCAGTATTAAAGATAAAATGCTTCTTTGGGGGGGTGGTATGTAAGCATGAAACTGGTTTATAAAATTGTAGAGCTTATGGATATTCTCACATCAAACTTCAACGTTTCAGGGCAGCATCTAGGTGTGAACGTAACGGAGAACCGCGGGAGCTGCTAGGAAGTTGTGCTGGGGATGCTCCCGGGAAAGACCAGCTGCTAAGGCAGCGCCAGTGCAGAGGCTGTTGACTTGCCCAGAAAAAAGGGATCGCCATGGATCAGAACAACAGCCTGCCGCCCTATGCTCAGGGCCTGGCCTCCCCTCAGGTAACAGCATCTGCTCTTGAAGGTTGATTGGTATTCTTTAAACCATTCACATCTTGTTGAGAAGGTCTCCTAGGCTTTGAACAGGCATGATCGTGTGTAATTTGCAGAGTCTCTCTGGAAGCATAAATGTGTCTTTGTCCTGCAGGTGTTGTCTCCCTGTCTGTGGTTTATTTTTTAATTTTCCTGATGTTGCCTTTTTGAAAGTAGAAGTTCATCATTTTTTTTCTCGCCTCTTTATCAGCATTGCTTCATGGTTCGTCTTCTGTGTCTTGTCTGAGAGATCTTTGCCTACTTTAACTCATAAGGTGTTTTACTGCATAGTTCTTGTTTTTATATGTATATCTGTCATTTATTTGTCTTTAGCTCATTTTTATACATGGCCTAAAGAAAGCAGACCTTTCAAAACCTTAGCTGTAGTCTTTTTAGGTTAATGTAGCTTGCATTTTTTTCTAGCAAGTATTTATTTATTTTAAAATATATTTTATTGATTTTTTTTAAAATTTTTATTTTATTTTATTGATTATTTACAGAGAGGAAGGGAGAGAGATAGAGAGCCAGAAACGTCGATGAGAGAGAAACATCAACCAGCTGCCTCCTGCAGAACCCCCACTAGGGATGTGCCCGCAACCAACGTACATGCCCCTGACCGGAATCGAACCCGGGACCTTTCAGTCCGCAGACTGATGCTCCACCACTGAGCCAAACCGGTTTCGGCATATTTTATTGATTTTTTACAGAGAGGAAGAGAGAGGGATAGGGAGTTAGAAACATCGGTGAGAGAAAATCATGGATCAGCTGCCTCTTGCACACCCCCTACTGGGGATGTGTCTGCAACCAAGATGCATGCCCTTGACCGGAATCCAACCTGGGACCTTTCGGTCCCCAGGCCAACTCTGTATCCACTGGTTTCAGCTCTAGCTAGCATTTTTATGTAAGTTAGTGGTAGATGCAGTGGAATAATGTCTGTACTCGGGGCCACAGTGTGTAGTTTGTCCTCTCTTATTCTTTCTGCCACCATGTTGGTGAGATAGTTTGACATAAATGTCTTACACATTTTTAGTTTTATGCTTTCTGCCAAATAAAGTGGCAGAGCAGAAAAGGGTTGTGGTTCTTTGTTTGGGTCTTGCACTTATTGAAAATATAATGGAAAGGGAACCCCTCCATGCAGAACTGTCAGATGCGGCTTTAGGAGGTTCACAGCCGCCACGAGCTCTGCTGGCTCCACAGTCTCCATGGATGTGGGTGTCAGGAAAAGGTCGGACTGGGGGTTGGGAAAATGTGCTTGTGATCTTGGCTAATCTGCCAATAAGACCTGTGGTTAAAGAAGAAAGAAGAGCATGTGTTTCCCTTCCCAGAGGGCTGTTGGTAAGACTCGGGGCGATTAATAACTGTCACGATGTCTGGAAGTGTTGAGAAGCAGAGTAGAAAGTAAATCGATATTCTCTGATAAATGTGTTTGGTTTTGTTGATTTAACCTTTTGAGAGCAATGATTAACCTTTTTTAATAGCGCTAGAATCATCATCATGACCACTGCAAGCACTCAGTGTTTCCCATGTGCCTGTCATCTGGTTGGACGCTGTAAGTGAATATTTCTAGGGTAACCATGTAATTTATCATCTAAGCTGGAAATGGGGTGCTACCCAGATGGTCAGCAGGATAATAGTTTAAACAAGGATGTGGGGTCACCCCAGTGGTCTCCCTGATTCTTTCTGACAATCTCAGGGCATTATTGTCTTCTAGGTAGGCCTGAAGGATTTAGCAACTTCCTTAGGTTCTCATGTGTAATAAGTAGCAGATTTGGATTTCACACCTGAGCTCCTACCTACTATGTTATGGTAATTGAAGAAAGTGATGTGTGAAAGAACAGCAAGTTCCTCCCTAATAATGCTCAATAACTGCATTTACACCAGAAGGCATCTGTCTTTACACATCTCATCTGTTCTCTCACCTAGCAGCACCAACCAGCCTAACCCACTGTTCTGACTCTCCACAGGGCGCCATGACTCCTGGAATCCCTATCTTTAGTCCAATGATGCCATATGGCACAGGGCTGACTCCACAGCCCATTCAGAACACCAACAGTCTGTCCATTCTGGAGGAGCAGCAACGGCAGCAGCAGCAGCAACAGCAGCAGCAGCAACAGCAGCAGCAGCAGGCGGCAGCAGTGACAACAGTGACAGCCGCAGTGCAGCAGTCAACGTCCCAGCAAGCTCCTCAGGGGGCCTCAGGACAGACACCGCAGCTCTTCCACTCACAGACTCTTACTACCACTGCACCCTTGCCAGGCACCACACCCCTGTACCCCTCACCCATGACTCCCATGACCCCCATCACACCTGCCACGCCAGCCTCTGAGAGCTCGGGGATTGTGCCACAGCTGCAGTGAGTACTTGTGTCTTCTTGCTGCCTGGGAGGGTCCCTGGGAGCCTGCCGCTGCTCTTTGTTTTCAGAGGCATCGTGGATCTCACAGTGGATCGCAGTTTCTGTCTCACTTGGGAGGGAAGCAAAGCTGTCCTAGTGAGTCACCCTCAGTGAGAAGCTCTCCCAGCTTTATAAGTTGTCAGTTTGTGTCTATGCTCTTGGACCAGCAGAATCCTTTGTGTATTTTCTTGTAGACATTTTCCTAGAGCTGGTTTGCTCAGTCAGGCCAGATAGAAGCTCCTTCCCTTGGCATGCTGTTGGTCTTTGGTATGATTAGTTACTTAGTCATAGAATTACATGGTTCATAGCGGTCCTTGGTTTTCATTGGTTATTAGAGACCTGATGCACAAAAATGGTGCAAAAGTAGGCCCTTGTCGCCCCACCCTCTGCCCACTGGTTGTTCTTGAAGGCTGTCTGCTGTCTAGTCTAATTAGCATATTAGCTTTTTATTATATAGGATTATATGAGGGCTGAATATAAATCTTTGAAGATCTGTGTCTTTCACACAAGCTGAGGATGGCTGTTCTTTCCCTAAATTGACTTTTGCCTAAAGGCAGTGGGTTCTATATGTAACAGGATTCGGGGTGAGGGGGGTGGAGTGGATGGGGGATACAATATATTCATACAGTGGGGAGGAGGAAGTATCTTAGAGAATGGGTGGATGGTGGTGGCGGCTGGACAACACTGAATGCATTGGACACCACTGAGCAGTGCACCAAAATGGTAAAGGTGCTAAATTTTGTTATGTGCATTTTAAGACAATTTCAAAATGAGAATAAAGAATGCATTTAAGTCCTAACTGGTGTTCACAGTGGTCAGAGCATTGTCCTGTGCACCCTAGGGTCGCAGTTTCTGTTCCTGGTTAGGGCACATACCCAGGTAGCAGATTTGATCCCTGGTTGAGATGCATGAGTGAGGCAACCAATCGATGTTTCTCTCTCTCCCTCTCCCTTCTACTCTCTCTAGAATCAATGAAAAACATATCACAGATGTGGATTTAAAAAAGAAAAGAATACATTTAATTGTTAAATGACTAAGTGTGTGATAGATGCACCAAAATTTACTTGACTGAGTTCACACATGGACAAGTGTTACAGGCAGGCGTGTATTGAAGTTGATTGGAAGGAAATGGGTGACATGGAGATGAAGACATTCCTAGGTGCCTCACAGCTGTGCGTCTGCAGTCTGGGTGCACTGTGCACAGGACAGTGATGCCGGGCCCATGCACGATAGTTTTATTCAGGGGGCACTACGCACAGCAAGTCTACACTTTCAAGACCAGGAAAATGTAGAGTAAAAATTTAGATTGGCTCTGTTTATAAATTTTTATTAAAATTTGTAATAAAGTTGTTTTTCGCTGTAGCATATTTTTTCTTTTGTAAGTTATTCATGAAATGATACAAGAATACTGAAAATGGGAGTCTTGGGCATAGATAAATGGTTGTCTGTTTTTCTTGATTTACTGTGAGTTAAGCAGAACCAAACAGGTTTTTTTTTTCCCCTTTGTTCTGAGTTGTTATTCTTCCATAGGATACTTATTTTGAGAGGACTGAGAAAGTCATGCCTGCCCATTTTCTTTGTAAGCAGTGGTCTTAGGGTTAGCAGTGGTGGTGGTTCAGAGCTCAGAGATGAGGTGCATCGGATTCGGTGACAGGCTCCCAGCTCTGGCTCTGAGGAGCCACGTGTCTCCTGAGTAGGTTACCCCATTTAAGCCTCAGTATGTGTAAAATGCTCACTATGGTATATGTTACTTTTTAGACAGTTAAAAATGTCAGTTTATTAAAATTTGAATTAAAATTAGCTGGAACCGGTTTGGCTCAGCAGTAGAGCGTCGGCCTGCAGACTGAGATGTCCCAGGTTCGATTCCGGTCAAGGGCATGTACCTTGGTTGCGGGCACATCCCCAGTGGGGGGTGTGCAAGAGGCAGCTGATCGATGATTCTCTCTCATCGATGTTTCTAACTCTCTATCCCTCTCTCTCCCTCTCTGTAAAAATCAATAAAATATATTTAAAAAAATTTTTTTGAATTAAAATTAAATTTCATGAAATTGAATTAGTTTGAATGAAACAATCAGGTTTCCAGATAATCATCTAACACCTCATCCTGTAAAAGTTAAATGAATAAATCACATTTTCTTTTAAATTTTTTTGCAGAAATATTGTATCCACAGTGAATCTTGGTTGTAAACTTGACCTGAAGACCATTGCACTTCGTGCCCGAAATGCTGAATATAATCCCAAGGTCAGAGCAATTTTAATGTATTTCACACTGTAATACAGGACTTCTCAAGATCCCTAGATCAGTAAGTTTGTGCCATGGTAATTAATAAATGCTGTTTCTGAGATACAACTGGAATAGGAGGTCACTTCCGCAGGTATTGATGTGTTTGTATTCTGCCTTATTAACTGCTCTGGAGGTGAAGGTTTTCCAAACAAAGTTTATAGTTACAGAAGCTAGTCATGGGAAGCATCAAATACAAGGTAGAAGTAGAGGACCTCATGTAATTAAAAGAAAAAGAAATTGAGCCCTTGCCTGTGTGGCTCAATTGGTTAGGCTTGCCCCAGACACTGGAAGGTCCCTGGCTCAATTCTCGGTCAGGCCCTATGCCTGGATTGCAGGTTTGGTCCTATGGTAGGCAGCAGATCAATGTGTCTCTGTCACATGATGTTTTTCTCCCCTCCTAACTCCCTCCCACACTCCTTCCCTCTCTCCTTCCCTCTCCCTTTCTCAAATCAATAAAAAAAAAAAAAAACTTTTAAGAAAAAGATTTGCAAGTATTCCCTATCTTATAGGAATGTAGGAAAGAATATACAGGTCATCACAGTTCTTCCTATGGGAAACCTTGTGCCCTGCTTGGTGGCGGGAGGTCCTGCCTGGGGGCGCATGTGGGTGCTATGGTGGCTGTGCACAGAACTTCTTAGCTTTCATAGTCTAGTTTTCCTCACGCCCTAACGACTCTCCACCATTCCAGCGGTTCGCTGCTGTCATCATGAGAATAAGGGAGCCCAGGACCACAGCCTTGATCTTCAGTTCCGGGAAAATGGTGTGTACGGGTGCCAAGAGGTAGGTGCGGAGAGGCCGTCCTGTCTGTTGTTTGTGTGTCCTCGGTGGTAGGCTGATGCTTGAATCAAATACTTTTGTTGCTTTCTTACTACAGTAGTTGGCTCTAATCACTTTAGTCGGCAGTAATTTCATTTTTTTAAAGTTAGGCCTGGCCCTGGCTGGTTGGCTCAGCTGATTGGAGTGTCATCTCATACACTGAAAGGTGGCAGGTTCTTTTCCTGGTCAGAGCACATACCTGTACTGTGAGTTCGATCCCCGGTTGGGGCGTGTACAGAGGCAACTTATCACTGTTTCTCTCTCACGTTGATGTTTCCTTTTCCTTCCTTCCTCTTTAAAAATCTATTTTTAAGAATCCATAAAAAAATAAAACTTAGGCATGACTTTTGGACATATGTTACCATTGCTTATTTCCCTACAATTCAGTTGCATTTTGTGTGTATTTGATAAAATATTACATCACAACTATTAAGGATTCCTTTGTGTGAAAAAGTTTGTACACAAATTCATCCCCTAGAAATCAGGATGAGCACAGAGCTCCTTGGCTCTGGCAGTGACATGGTGACAGGTGCCACTGCCCTCGTGGGGATGGTGTTTGTTCTGATGGTCTGAGTTGTGCACCTTCATGCCAAATGCTGCTGCCTGTACTCTGCCTCAGTGTGCCATGAGCCCCTCTTCGAATGCCTTGACTAGTCTACGCCTAACAGCCCACAGACTTGGTAGGAGACACAAGGAGTAGGGGAATTAGACACAAATGAAGTAAACTAAACTCCTAAAATAAAGTGATGGATGCCACTTGCAGGTGTTAACGTACAGAGGGGCTATAGAGCTTTTGCTTATTCGGAATTTAAAAGTTGTCTTTTAAGGAAGCATGGGTGTGGACATTCTGGCTCTGGTCTCAAAGTGTTTTCAGAAGGCGAGACGTGGGTCTGTCCTGGCTCCATGTCACACTGCGTTTCGGTGTCTTTAACAGCTTGTTTTACTTTGGACGTGGGGTTTCCTAGTGGATGCTCCATGTGTTGCCTTCACCGCAGCCACGCTGTCTTGTACCTCAGAAAGAACAGTGGGTATCTGTGTGGGTGACTATTTTATCAAGATAAAGAAATCATACATTTAAATTTTTTTAAAAAAATATATTGAGTTTTTACAGAGAGGAAGGGAGAGGGATAGAGAGTTAGAAACATCAAAGAGAGAAACATCTATCAGCTGCCTCCTGCACACCCCCTCATGGGGATGTGCCCACAACCAAAGTACATGCCCCTAACCAGAATTGAACCTGGGACCCCTCAGTCTGCAGGCCGATGCTCTATCCACTGAGCCAAACCCGTTTCGGCCATTTATTAAAGAAAAATAAGACTGTGTATAGTTAATTTTTGTCATTCCTAACCTTGAACCTGAGAGAGAGTCTTGTTTAGGGTGGTATCATTGCTCTCATTCACTGGGTTCTACATAAACTCTGCGTTCTTAGTCAGTTTTATCCAACAGGTGAATTATTGAAATGGACATAAAATAGGGTAGAACTACTGTGTGCATTCTTTAAGTACAAACCTCATCAGTATTTTCCTATCAAAAGGATACTTGTTTTCTTTTAGTAGGAATTTGTGAGCTAAAATACAAAAGCAGCCAGTGGTCATGTTGGTGATTGTATGCGCACATCTGTAAACTCGTGGCTGGTAGTAATGGGGTGAATTGGAAAGGTGGTCATTTTTGTAGGCTTGGTTTTCTAAATTTGTTTGTGTCTGCACATGTTTTTTCTTATTGGGAAGGAGTGACCGGTTCACACTTTTTAAAGCCGCTCATTTCAATAACTATGTCAGCTGGCTCTGAGCATGAACAGCTCACTTTTCCCTCTCCCTAGTGAAGAGCAGTCCCGACTAGCAGCACGAAAGTACGCCAGAGTTGTGCAGAAGTTGGGTTTCCCAGCCAAGTTTTTGGACTTCAAGATTCAGAACATGGTGGGGAGCTGCGATGTGAAATTCCCCATAAGGTTAGAAGGCCTGGTGCTGACCCACCAACAATTCAGTAGGTGAGTCTGAAGGGTGTTGGGATTGCTTTTGGCAGCAGTCTGTTCAAAAGTGCACAATAAACTGTGTAGCTCTCACTGTGCTTACTGGGGAGGTTTCTCCCGATGGCCGGAGTGATGCCTCTGGGTCTCGCTGGCCTTCTGCCCACTGCACGTGGTGACGTGAAAACCCCCTTTACTATGAAATTGATTCCCTTCTCTGTTCCATTGTCATATTGCTCAGTGACTATTTCAGATGTGTGAATTAATCCTTTGTACGCCATAAGCATCTATAGACATATAGATGGTTTCCGTTTTGGATGCATGCCAGTTAGCTGGTTAAACCCACCACCTTGTGCATCAACCTTCCCCTTTCAGTCTACTCGCCGTTATCAGGTCCACCAGTAAAGGGCATGGTTGAAGGACATGAATATCCTTTCTGCTGCTGCTTCCTGCCGAGAACTACCAGGCAGATGGTCCCTCCCCAGCCTACCTGCTTGCAGCACCCCTCAGGCTTGATGTATCCTTTGGGGTACCAGGGCCTTTGCACATTCCACTTTTATACCCGGCATAGTCTCACTTTTGCTTTAAAAACTCTTACTCACATTTTTAACTTGAGCACCTCTTCCTCAGAAAAACCTTCCTGAATTTTCTGCTAGCGACATACACATCCCGTTTTCAGTCTCTGAACTAATGACACAAGATTTCTAGGTTTAGAATAAGACACATGAGTAGGGCATCCAAACAGCGGAGTCAGGGAAAGGTACATTCTGTATCCCGTATCTGCTCCAGCACTGGTTAAATGCCCAACCAGGGTCAACAGCTAGAGAATATTTCAGTGTAAGATGAGATGAGATGAGAATGACTAAAAGGCAGAATGTTGCTGTCAGATTGAGAAGCAATGGTATCCCTAAACTTGTCCAGAATAACACTGGGTAAGGGTCAGAGAGACTTTAGAACATTATGTAAAGCTCTCATTCTTGTCAGAAAATCCACCCTCATTAGATAGTTATTTAGTCCTCAGGTGCAGATTACCGGTTGGCTTTCCTGGCCTTCTGCCCCCTCTCCTTTGATGCTACTTGAGGAGCTAGGCTTTGCCTTCTATAATAGCTGTATTTTCATGTTTTTGCTTATACAGGTTTTCATTTTATCTTAAAAGCATGGGCAACTTTTAATTTATAAACTTTTGTTTTCCTTCTAGTTATGAGCCAGAGTTATTTCCTGGTTTAATCTACAGAATGATCAAACCCAGAATTGTTCTTCTTATTTTTGTTTCTGGAAAAGTTGTATTAACGGGTAAGTTGTAACAGGGAGTAGTGTCTGAGATTTTAAAGTTTTAAGAATGTAATTTTCTCCATGTGAGAAGTAATTTCACAGTTGGGACCACTGATAGCTATTTGCAGAGGTCTTTTCTTTCCTCCCACCCAAACATGCTGGCAAGAAATGTACCAGAGAGAAAATCAGACCCCATTCCTGCTGGTCCTTTAGCCCAGTCTTGTCTTGTGGGCAGGGGAGAAGATGGGCATTGCATTGGATAAGAGATGGAGTTTTATTGGGAAATTGTTCCTTAAAGCCTTTGCATTCATCAGCAATGTGATTTTGAGACAACAAAGGGAGATTTGGAGGAGCTTGGTGGGAGGCAGAAGTTGGGGAATACTATTCAGCCATTGTTACTGTGCCTGTGGCCCTGATCTGGTGCAGGGACCAGCACTGTGATGCCTGCCGAGAGGAGGCTGAGTCACATAGGGCGTCACTTTAATAATTTAAAAAGCCCTTTAAGAAAACTGCTTTAAAAACAAAATTTTGACAAGGGGTTTTATCATTAATACTAGAGGCCCGGTGCACGAATTTGTGTGCTGGTGGGGTGGCCATTGGGGGCAGGCTGGCTGGTGCTAGGGGTGGTGGGCATTCTGTTTATTCTGCTGTTCAGTCAGTTACCCTTTTAATATATAGGATTTTAATGCCTGTGCCTGTTCGTCTAACTCATGGAGAGATTTATGTTAGTGGTTTTAAATCATAAAATTGCCTCTTACTAGGTTAAGAAATGCTATTTTAGACTCTCATCAATACCCCACTTGTCTTCATAGGTGCTAAAGTCAGAGCAGAAATTTATGAAGCCTTTGAAAACATCTACCCCATCCTCAAGGGCTTCAGGAAGACGACGTAATGGCTGGCCTGCCCTCCCACCCACTTGTAAAAACACACCCGTTTGGTACATTTAAGTGGTGGTGTGGGTGGCCTGGGTCCGTGTGGAATGCAGCCTGCATGTACACCTAGGCACACGCCAGGTGTTTCTGTAGTGCTGGTCTGTGCTGCCTGTCTATTTAGATTTAGCTTTCAATTTTAAACTCTTACTGCTGTTGACAAGTTGGTTTAAGGGACAAAACTTTGGTGTTAAAGCCACCTCTTCAATTGACTGGACTTTTAATTTTTTTTTGCTTTCTTCCCCATAAACCAGTTTTTATATTTCTACCAGAAAAGTAAAAATGTTTTTTACAAGTGTTGTTTTTCTAATTTGTAATCCTAGGGTTTATTTTTGTGCCACACATTCCGCCCTCTCAGTATTGCAGGACAGATGTATTAATGAACATGGATGGCTGTAAATATTTCTCCTCATACTCTGTACAATAAATGCTGTTTATAAAAGAGTTAGGTTGATGCTATAAATGCCTTGTAAGGTTTATGTGGTCCTACTGTTAAAAGGTTGTATTTTAGATATAATGCCTGAAACCACTGTGTGTGTGCTTGTTGTTTCAATCAACATTCCATTGTCTGTTGCAATGGGAAAGGAAGAATCGGCCGGAGGCTTAAGGTTACCCATCAAACATGTCTGTCGTGGTCATGCACGGAGTTCTTCGTTTCCCAGAGATGTTGCCTGAGTTGCACTAACCCTGTCCCAGCACATGTTTTATTCCTGAAGTCTTCCCTCCATCTCTTTTCCTGAACATTTCAGGCCATTTGCCTGGTGTATCCTCCTTGTGTTGGGCCGTTTGCTGATTCGTTTTTTGGTTCTGTGTCCCGTCTCAGCTCCTGCAGTTGGGGGCTGCATCCAGATGCTTGACCCCCTTTGTCATGGCTGAGTGTGTGTTCTGTTATGAATCAAATATTTGGTTCTCTCTCTCGTTAGGCGGTTGCAGATGATGAAATTCTATTAGGTCTAGTAATAATTAATGTCATTTTCTAATACTTTTTTAAATCGAATTTATTTAAACAATACAAAATTTAATCAACAATATAGTTGCCGTTGTTTTCTACTACTTGTGCCCAGCGCTCAGGAAGCATTCTAATCCCTCTGTTGTAAAATTCTTGTGATTTTGATGCAAAAAATTCGGTCAATGCATTTTTGAGGCATTCTTCATTATTAAATTTTTTTCCAAGAAGAAAGTTTTGCAAAGAACGAAACAAATGGTAATCGGAAGGGGCAATATCAGGAGAATATGCAGGTTGAGGGAGAACTTCCCATTCCAACTGGCACTGTTTTTCAGCAGTGATTCTTGCAGTATGCGGTCATGCGTTATCGTGGTGAAGAATTACGCTCTTCCGATTAATCAGCGTGGGTTCTTTTTCTCTTAAAGCTTGGGCTAACCTTTCCAATTGGGCACTATACACTGCACTTGTAATGGTTTGGTTAGATGGTAAAAGTTCATAATGAAGAATTCCTTTAAAATTCCACCAAACACACAACATCACTTTTTTCGCATGCAAGTCAGGTTTTGGCGTGGGCTGCGGAGCCTCATTTTTGTCCAACCATTGAGGCCGCCTTTTCAAATTAACATACAGCACCCATTTTTCATCTCCGGTAACAATTTGCTCTAAAAACGGCAAATGGTTTTGACGAGAGAGGAGCGAACTGCAAATTGTGACTCTTTGATTACGGTTGTTGTCGGTCAACTCATGAGGAACCCATTTTCCAAACTTTTGGACTTTGCCAAGTGCACGCAATTGATTGGAAATTGGGTTTTTTTTGTGAACAATTTAAAGTTGTTGCAAGCTCTTGTTGGGTAATTTGAGGATTTTGCACCAAAAGAGCTTCTTGATCAAAATTGGACACACAGCCTCGACCACTCTTGTCATCTAACGAAAAATTTCCCTCGCGAAATTTCTCAAACCAACGCTGGCATTTTCTGGCGCTAACTGCATCTTGACCAAGAGCACTACAGATGTTTTTTGCAGCCTCACTTGCTTTTTTTCCTAATTGGAACTCATGAGGCATGCAGTGCCGAATATGCTCTTTATCCGCCATCTTCTTAGCCCTAGTTTTGCAACAAAAACCAAACCAAACACAAACTTTTTCAAGCAAAACTTGTTAATTGCACTTCACACGTTCTGTAGATACCATGTGTTTGAAGGTTATATCAATACAACTCCAAGCAAGATTTTAAACGAATGTTTAAAAACAACATTAATTATTACTAGACCCGATAGTCATTTCCCTTTTCCTCGTATTCATTGGAATACTTTTATTATCCTCCACACTGAAAGTTTTTCATGTTTAAAAACACATGGGATGGCCGAGACCGGTTTGGCTCAATGGATAGAGCGTCGGCTTGGGGACTGAAGGGTCCCGGGTTCAATTCCGGTCAAGGGCATGTACCTTGGTTGCGGGCATATCCGCATTAGGGGGTGTGCAAGAGACAGCTGATTGATGACTCTCATCGATGTTTCTAACTATCTCCCTTCCTCTCTGTACAAAATTAATTAAAAACAAACAAAAAAACCACATGGGATGGTAAGTTAAAATATCCCCGTCATTTTCAATTATACACACAACAGTCTGATACACTACCACAAATATGATTATCGGAAGCACTACAGCATATTTTTTGCTGTGCTTTCTGAATTCTTGGAGGTTGGAAGGGCCAGAGCCAGTGCCCGCTGCATGGTGAGTGGGCTGCTCCCCCACATGGGCTGTTTGGTCAGGCAGTCCGGCCAAGCAGGTCGGTGGCAGTGGATGGATTAGCAGCAGTGATGGATGTCCTCTACAGGAGCCATAAAATGTTTTGACATTTCTAGAGGCAACTGAATTGCGTGATGTATTTATACATGAAGAAGGAGAGTCTGAGGGGAATGAGGGGAACGGGGGCAGGGGAGATGGCAGGTGATGGCAAGAGTTGGGGTGGCTCAGGACAGGACCTCCTGTAGATCAGCACCTCTCACTCTTCACAAAAGACCAATTTTCTTTTTAAAGTTTTATTCTATTGCAGGTCAACATGTGTGAAACCATTAAACTAAACACTTAGAAAAAGGAAATACACAGATGTACAAATATTTGAAAAAAAAAATATGATCGTACTAGGAATACCATCTATACTGGTATCTTGCTATCTGTTCAGATTTGTACTTTACCGGATGTGCATGCAGGTATGCATCAAAAACAGCTTTCCACTGCATAGACACGCCAAAATTTATGTAATTCCCAGTTACTGGACATATTTATTTCACTAATATTTAGATACTAGAGGCCTGGCATATAAAATTTGTGCATGGATGGTTTTCTCACCCCGGCCTGCACCCTTCCTTGCATTATGGGACCTCTCAGGTTATGTCTGACTGCCAGTTTAAGCCTGATCCCACAGTTGGACATCCCTCTTGCAATCCAGGACCACTGGCTCCTAAACACTAACCTTCCTGCTTGCCTGATCACCCCTAACTGCCTCAGCTCCCACGGCTTTGTCCGAAAGGACGTCTGGAAGGTTGTTTAGCTATCCAGTCTAATAAGCATATTACACTTTTTTTTATTATAGATTTTGAAAAAGCCTAAAACATCTTTGTACCTCTCTTTCTGGTACAATTATTCCCTTAGGATAATGTCCTAAAATTGGAATTGCAAGATTTAAGAGGTTATGAGCACTTTTAAGGCTTTTCGAGGTTGTCTTTAAGATGTATCATTTACATCTTGTTTCCAAACAAATTCCTCTGTGTAGCCGGTGCCCAGGCTGCAGCTCTCAGCACAGGTGTAGATGGCCAGGACACCCCAATCAACACTCTTGCCCAGCCTGTCGGCCTTTAGGTAGTTGAGCAGCTGAGGCATGACCTGAGAAGAAGACGACACAGAGACCTGCTCAGGCGAGGAGCACCATTTTCCTTCAGCAGACCTTACTTGCCAGGCTGATGCTGAGCTGTAAAGTTTCCATGCTACACAGCATTACAGACATGCAATGAACATAATGAATGCACACTGTAAAAATATTTTGCAGCTCTGTCCTCAGAACCCGTTTCATTTGGCATCTTTCACTTCCATTTGATAAAGAAGTTTTCAAATTTAAGACTGGCAGATCCCTGCCAGGCTGGGAGCGGCCAGGCTGGGAGCGGCCGGGCCCGGAGCAGCCAGACCCAGAGCAGCCGGGCCGGGTGCGGCCAGGCCCGGAGCAGCAGCAGCCAAGTCCAGAGCAACTAGGTTGGGAGCGGCAGTGACCAGACCCGGAGCAGCTGGTTGTGGAATGAACCAGAGCAACAGAGGCCAGGCCCGGAGCAGCCAGGCCCAGAACAGCTCGCTCCTCGCCTGCCCCTGCCCCAAGACTGCCTCTCAGACATGGCTGGAAACTTTTGTGGGAACTTGAGGGTCTGCTGAATCAAGTGATGAAGGCTTAGATCTGGATGTGTTGAGTTAGTATAGGGCTGGGGTGTTGATCTGTGAGTGCCTTGGGTGGGGCCTGGATGAGGCTGGTTGACCTATTTGGAAATGTCTTTTGTGTGAAGTGTATCGTTGGGCATGTGGAGGTATTATTGATATGAGAAAATGCTAAGTAACTGATTTACTATCTGAAAAGGGATTTACTATTGGGGAAAGGGAGGGAGGAAGAGACTGAACATAAACTGTGCACCTATGGATGAGGACAATGGGGGATGGGGAGGGGGCGGAGGGTGGGGTGGGAACCTGGTGGAGGGGGGAAGAAATGAGGAACCTTTGAAATAATATGAACAATAAAGATTGATTAAAAAAAAAAAAAAAAGACTGGCCGATCCATTTGGCTTGGCTGGTTATCTAAATAATTTTATTAATAACTAGAGGCCTGGTGCACAAAATTAGTGCACTTGGGGGGGGGGGGTTCCATCAGCCCAGCCTGTGCCCTCTTGCAGTCTGGGACCCTTGCTCCTTACCACTCAGTTTGCTGCTCCTTAGCACTGTTTCTTAGCTCTGCCTCAGAGGCAGGAGAGGTTCCAGCTACCACTGCTGAGCTTGCCAGCTGTGAGCCCAGCTTTTGGCTGAGCAGCACTCCCCCTGTGGGAGAACAATGACCACCAGGGGGCAGCTCTTCTATTGAGCGTCTGGCCCCCGATGGTCAGTGTGCGTCATAGCAACCACTCATTCTGCTGTTCAGTCAATTTGTATAATATATTAGGGTTTTATTATATAGGCTGTGCCATAAAATAGTACTGAGGCTTCTATGAAACTTTTACTTTCTATCACTTGAACAGCAGGTGCTGGTGCAATGACTGAAGGAACACTAGTATAATAAATACAAAAAGAAAATTTGTTGATGTCTGTAGAGAAAGGGACCTCAGGAGGCCAGCAATTGGATGGAAGAGTGAAGGTCTGCCCCACCGGTAGGAAACTGCTTCGCACGCTCACACACACATACACTGGCAGCTCAACTCACCATCAAGAGCTTTGGGATTAGAACCAACCAGTGTTGGATGCAGTCCTTGTAATTCCCTTTTTACCCAAAACAATTATTACCTACCACTCTGTAAAGTTACTTAATCCACAGAGGATTGATTTCCACCCAATCCCAAAATGATTCTGATGCTAACAACCTTTTTTTGAAAAAACATTTATCTTAATGATACTTAATGTGCCTTAATGATACATGCATTTGTTTTCCTAACAAATCCACAAATCAACACTAAAAAGAGCAAGTTCTGAAACATTCCTCTCACAACGTACATTGTCAGACCTGATCAGTGGAAATTGTATTATTTAAAATTACCAAGATAAGAGAGACACTGAAAATAATGCTGTATCAGCATTGGAAGGTGGGGGTGGACCAGATGGTAAAAGCGAACACATGTAAACCCTCATTATTGTATAAGCCCACAGATGTCTGGACATTAATAAAATTACAAATAACAGGAAAATCATGTTACTTAGAGATGGAAAAACTACCAGATAAATCAGTAAGAGATAGTTGTAAGCCCTGAGGTGGGGCAGGAACCTATTGAATTTCATGGTGGGGCTATTTCTGTAATACCATTCTGACCCCATGCATACTTTACTTTGGTAAAGTTTTGTAATGTTTTAAAGACACAAAGCAGGGTAATTACCTAGTAAAATTATTCCTACTTAAGGTCATACCTGGAATTCAAATATTCTCTTGGCTCCACAGGGGCAGTCTGGAATATTCTCCTCTTCGGGGACATTTTCACCCGAGATCCAGATGGGGGCAAGCCCTCTACCATACCTGAGAATCTAAAATCAATTAGGATCACATTCCGATCACCCACATCTCACCTAAGAGTGTTCCCCCCCCCCCCCCCCCACACACACACACATTCTCAAAGTTAATTTCTTTTCAATGTTATCAAAGCAATGAATCCAGCCTCTGGAATTCAGGCTATCAAAATTTAATCTTAATCTTGTCATCTATGCCGGATGCTTGGGTGCTGGGTAATCCTGTAGTTACATGCGTTGTGTACAGGGTTCTTCCAATAAAGGCAACTATATTTGTTTAAAGTGTCTGCATGCAACGATCCAACTGCATAGTAAATGCTAGAAGACTTGGAGTGAATAATATAGTCATTCTCACAATGCCCCCCCCCAAACAAAGAAAAATAGGGCTGCTGTGATGAGAGCTTCTAAGGATGACACCCTAACAGAACACAAGATGGAACCATTTGAGCCCTACTTTACCTGTTCTGGTTCCAGGGCTATTTTATTTTTAAACTCTTGGAAAATTTTATCTTCCCTGGATTCATGTTTTGCCATGGAATCCAGTTCGTCCACAGATGCTTCACCTAAAAACCATCAACACAACCATTACATCAACAGAAATAATCCCCAGGACTCAACAATTAAAACCACTTGAGGGCAACCAGTTTCAAACAACCAACTAAGTTTTGAATGAATCAGACAGTGATGGCCAGATGTTCCCTATTTAAGTTCTTTCAGATTTTTTTCCTGCATGACCACCTGCATTTCCAGGTGCCCCGTGAAGCACTATTCACTACCCAGGTTCCTTCCTGGTGACTACTTCTCTTCATTAAAGTTTCAAATTTAAAAGAACAGACCCAAGTCCTGGGCTCAGGAAGCTGTTCCTAGCACACATTAGGACACTCAACAAATGTGAACCCATCTGTTGTAAAAAAAAAAAAAAAAAAAAAAAAAAAGTTTTTATTGATTTTATAGAAAGAAGGGAGAAGAGATTGAAATATAGTTGAGAAACAGCAATTGGCTGGGGATCGTGTTGACTGGGAATAAAATTGAGGACCTCAGAAGGGAAGGAGACTTATGTAATAATTTCAAAAAATAAAGAATTTAAAGTAAAATAAATAAATAAATAAAAATAAAATAAAATAAAATAAAATAAAATAAAATTGAGGACCTCAACGCTCATGGGACAACAATGCTCAACTAGGGAGCCACCCATGCCGGGCCATGAGTCCTTCTTATCACTATCACCCTTATGCAGCTGGACTCTTACTTCCAATCTCCTCACATTTCTCTTCCCAGCTGGCCCACCTGCTAAGCTGTCCTGCCAGCTCATTCCTCCACCTACACTAGGGGTGTCGAACTCAATCAGAGAAAGGGCCAAAATCTAAAATCCAGCCTAAATCGCGGGCCGAATGGTTTACAGAACAGTCATAAACTGTCATTGTGATGGAAACGCAGCGGAGTGCAGTGATGACAGCGCGGTGCGGGCCACATTGCAAGGCCTGGCGGGACGGATTTGGCCCGCGGGCCTTGTGTTTGACACATGTGCTCTACACCTTCAGCTCCTAGGACCCCAGCCATCTGCACCACTGCTGTCCCCAACAGCAGGTAGTCTTTGTGACAACTATTACTATATATTTCTGATGCCCTTACATGAACTATTGACCAGTAAGCCAACATTCTAATTTAAAACCTAATTATGTGGTGTTTCTTAAGAGCTCAAGTTCTAGTAAGTGAGATGTGAGCTCAAATTCCATTTAAAACTTAACAACTTGGGTCAGTTACATGACCAAAACAAGTTACACCCAGAACCTCAAAGTCTTCACTGCAAAATGGGGTTGCGAATTAATTGAGACTTTACTGAGATCATGCACAGAAGCCCTTGGTGCAAAGTGTTGAATAAATGCTGCTCCCAATCAGCCTCTTAGGTATTTGATCAGCAGAGGCTCTGGAGTATGATCAACTCTAGAGAAGTAACCAAAGTGTGTAAAACTGGTTATGTTAGAGGGTCCCCGGGCAGGAGGAATAGAGGAACCAAGGCAGGAAAGTTAAAACAAGGCCGAACAGTGCGGGCAATGTGCAGTCAGCATGAAACTAACAAGCCTTTATATTCCCCAGCCAAGGACTGAGAGCCAATGCTTAAAAAACCTCCCTAAGGAGAGAATGCAGAAAGGGAGAGGGAGGGGAAAGGAAAAAAGGGCCGTTTTACTCCCTAAGCAGAGAAGCCAGCAATCCCGGGTTTGGCAAAGTAAAGTTGCCAGGTACTTCTCATGAATTCTGGGAAGGCCACAATAAAGAAAACAGGGACTTTGAGAATTGATCTGCATCAAAATATCCAGCAGAGGGCAGAAACCGGTTTGGCTCAGCGGTAGAGCATCGGTCTGCAGACTGAAAGATCCCAGGTTCGATTCCGGCCAAGGGGGTGTGCAAGAGGCAGCTGGTTGATGTTTCTAGCTCTCTATCTCTCTCCCTTCCTCTAAGAAAATCAATAAACTATATTAAAAAAAAAAATCCAGCAGAGGAATTTTGGAACCTATAGACAGCAGAGTACATAATGCTCAGACCTCCATCCAACTGGTTCTGCAGATTAGCCGAGAGCCTGTCTACACTTCCTAAGCCACATGCATGGGTTTGTTTGCTTTGATTTTTCACTAAAGGTGCATGCTCTAACTGCTTTATTAAATTAGCTTTTCGCAATGCATTTGAGGTCTGTCGTTTAAATTTATATAAGGATCAACCTTGGACAGCCCTCTCTGGGGTCAATAAGAAGCACCTCTCACTTCGAAAGGGCCTGCTGGCCATGGCTGGGTGCTCAGTTGGTTAGAGTGTCGTTCTGATACACCAAGGCTGTGGCTTCCATCCCAGACAGGGCACATCCAAGAATCAACCAATGAACGCATAAATAAGTGGAATAATAAATGAATGTTTCTCTCTCTCCTTCCTCCTTTCTCTAAAAATCAACAAAAATCATATTTAAAATCAATTTAAAAAAGAAAAGAAAAAGAAAAAAGTGTCCCACTTTCTCTCACGTACACCATCTTGATCTGAGGAATAGACCTTGGACCCAGATGAACTTACCAATTTCCTAGCATCCTGGGCAGCCCTACCCAAATGCTACCTGCACAATTCCTCTGACTGAGATACCTTTATGGATCCAGACTGTGCCTAACATGTGGCAGGGTGGGAGGGACAGGAAGGGTGTTGTCAAATGAGGCAATATTGTTAAGTTCTGTTACTGCAGCCTCCAAAATTAGCTGGCTTTTCTGTCAGTACCTCACTCTGGACACTCTGAGCCCACTGTTTCAAGCATTATGTACCATCACAATCACTTAATGAATAAAGTTCTGAAACTGACTCCTTACCCATGCTCCCTATAATCTCTGGTTCATCATCTTTTTCTGAAACTTCAGGTGTAATCTCATCTTCTGTTTCTATTACAATTTCAAATTCTGGAAAAAGGAAGTTGTGATCTGGAACTGTGTTGTCCAAGTTATCTGAAAAAAAAAAAAAAAAAAAAAAAAAGTAAAAAAAAAAAAAAAAAAAAAAACTTGCACCATCAGTAAAACTTAGTTCTAAGAACAGCCTACCAATGTGCTATTTCTAAAGTATATTCCAGGTGAAACCGGTTTGGCTCAGCGGAATGAAAGGTCCCAGGTTTGATTCAGGTCAAAGGGTATGTACATTGGTTGTGGGCACATCCTCGGTAGGGGGTGTGCAAGAGGCACCTGGTCGATGTTTGTCTCTCATTGATGTTTCTAGCTCTCTATCTCTCTCCCTTCCTCTCTGTAAAAAAATCAATAAAATATATTTTTAAAAATAAATAAAGTATATTCCAATATAGTAACAGCTTTTCCTAGTTAATTAATATATATAGCTTAAATATTTTAGGTTGTAGACCATACATTAAATGCTGCTCCTATGAGACCTAACTGAGTGGGCAGAATCTCAGAGCTCTTCCTACTGGGAATCAAGACGCATCCTCCGGACTGCCCTGACTGGGAATCCAAAGGGAGACCTTTCCTGCACCAGAAGAGAAACTACACCACACTGGCCACGGCTCATAGCTCTTCCTTCATAAAGGTGTTGTTGACACCCAACTTCTGAGAAGTATTTGAGCTTTCCTAATTATAACTTTATAAAAATCTAGAGTTGGTAGGTGCTATGAAGATGAGCTGAAATTTAAAAAGAGGGACTCACCTGCTTGTCCGCACGCTTGCTTATGTCCGGACCTCCAGTCCACAGCCTGATGGTCCTTACTGCAGTAATGTGCCTGGCGACACCGAGAGCACGTCTTGGGGCCTAAGCAGCCGCACACCCTGCAGAGGTGAGCCCCCGACTTGAGCTGGAGGCACACGGACTCTCCCGCCTCTGGAGGAGGCTCCTCAGGAGGCGGCTCATGTGAGTAAAAGTCGTTTTTCCTGGGTAGCTGATTTCTAAAAACTAAAAAAAAAAAGAGAACATTGTATTTTTAAATAAAACAGTATGTCAATTCAAATCATTTAACGTCCATTCCACACAGGAATGAAAAAGACAAACAGAAGGCCATTTCTGCTTTCGGAGAACTTATGAAAGAAGGGGGAAAGTGGAAAAGAGCAAGAAAGTCTTCAGATCTATAAACTAGTCTGGGACCCGCACCGAGCTGGCTCTCTGAGCCAGTCAATCCAGTTACCACTGAGCCCAACAGACGAAAAGATGCGGAAAAGCTTTGGGGACACCGCTTTCTGAAAACAGACCCTTTTAAAGTCTAAACATGAGCAAGCACACGGAGGACCGGCGGGATAAGAAAAGCCGGGCTGGAGGGCGGGGAAGGGAACCCCGGGAGCCCGCCCCGCCCTCCCCTGCCGCTCCCGCCCGCCGCTCACCGCGCAGGCCCGCACAGCAGGGCGGCGCGCGGCAGCAGAAGAGGAACAGGCTGCGGTGGAAGGCGTCGGCGCGGCCGGGCAGGGGCGCGTACAGCTGGAGCACGAAAGCCAGCGGGCGGCCGCATAGCGAGCACGCCAGCTCCGCGGGCCCGGGCAGCCCAGCCTCGCCCAGCCACGCCGGCCGGCCGCCGACCTTGCTGGGGAATTGGCTGCTGCGCAGCCGCCAGGCCGGCGCCTCCTCCGCGAAGCCCAACTCCGCCGCCCCGGCGCGCACGACTGCCATCCGCGTGCAGTGCCACCCCGGCGGAAGGCGGAAGGCGGAAGGCGGAAGGCGGGTCCCGGATGGCGCTTTGGACAGCCAACCGGAAGCGATTGTGTGACTGACTTCCGGTGTCATGCCTGGGGCCCTCCCAGGGTCTGTGAGCCCAGGCGGTAGACTGGGCACACGCTGCGGACACGTGCCCACTCCCGTTGCCCTGGCCTCTGCGGGCCGAGTGCTCGCGGAGCTGCTGAGAGTCAGGGCAGGGTTGAGGGGCCGTGGGAGCGCCCTGAGGAGGGGTGAGAGCAAAAACTGGAGATGAGAGGGAAGGGTTGAGGGGTCAGGGCCCAGGGCTAAAGGTTAGGGTTTAGGCTTTAGGGTTAGGGTTCAGTGTGAAGCTTCGTGCTGGAGGTCAGCTTTACCTGCCCCAACCCCTTGTCCGCCTGCCTCTTTCCCCATCACGTAGCCCTGCCCCCTTGTTCGGTGCCTGCGTGATCACGTGCACCCACCCCTTGCTCACGTGTCCACTTCTTAGTGATGGCATTGTACCGCCCCCTGGAGACCTTGGATGGACCTGTTTCCGGGGTGCCATCTCCCGGGTTGGCTGCCTCCGCTCTCACACCTGTCAGCAGTCCCTTTGGCAAAATCCTTCAGCTGGGGTTAAAGGAGACAGGAGAGCAGTGGCCGTCCAGAGTCCATGCCAGAGATCCAGAGGGGCCTGAGCCTCCCTGGAAGGCTGGGGGAGGGAAGGGTGGTGAGGTGGGGGTGCAGACGAGGGAGCAGAACGCCCTCAGGGCAAGTGGGGCGCCCACAATCTCCCTACACTCCTGTGAGGAGCAGCAGAGAGGGCAAGCGACTTCCTTGATGGCATACAGGAGGTAAAAGGGCTGAGCTAAAAAGGAAGCCTTAGGCTGCCCACAGCCTGGCTCCTTTACCTGTGACCTGTGGGTAAGGAGGCAGGGCCCCCTAAACATTCTCAAGAAGTCAGGTGAGGACAGAGATGGGGTCACGTGGTGATTGAAGAGAGGTGGCCAGGAGCTCCCAGAAGAGGCAGAGGCAGAAAGGACCTTGCTTGCGATATCCCGAGATGGGCGACTAGCAATGATTATAAAAGAGGAAAAAAGACTGATGGAGGCATTGAGGAGCTCCTACTCTTCAACTTCAAGTCATATTTTCTGAAAGCGTTAACATCATAGCTATTGTAACGCCTGAAATGTCGAGTTTAAGGCCAAAGAAAAGCATTTGCGGGAAGTTTTAGTTCATTACTAATAACTCCATCTATGGTAAAAAAAAAAAAAAATTTAAAAAATCCCCATTATTAATCTACAATATATACCTGGTAACCCACTTTTGTGATGTTATGTCGCCGTCTTGTGGACATCTCTGGAATTGAGTCGTTTAAACTTTTTTTTTTTTTTAAAGCCTTCCCAAAGTAAAACTACAATAAAGTGACAAGTATAGCACAGAGACGTCTATTCATGAGCAATCTTAAATTTCCCGTGTGATACCCTGTGACCCCGCAAATATTATAGTTTTTTTTCGCTCTAATACCAGGGGCAATTTCCTATAAACCAGGGCCTTCTCTGGCACAACCATCAGCATCGTGAAGTTCACGCTGCTACTGCTGTGTCTCTGCAGTCCAGTCCTCTTACAGGATTGCAATGTCGCCCGTTGTCCCAGGAATGCCCTTGGCAGGCGGCCAGAGATCCTGCTGACACCCCTTCCTGTGAGAGGCACCCTTTCCATTGAGTCTTCACCTCTCCCAGTCCTCCTCCTGGAACCTTTTACAGACTTGAGTGCTTTAACACTTTGCTGAACCGGAGGATAAAAATATCTGGAATCAGGGACTCTGCAGGCTCCAGAGACCCCTCCCCGCCCCTACCTTCTCCCCCTTCCTCCCCCCGCCCCCCCATAACCAGAACTGGGATGGAGCCAAGGTGCCCTGGACCTGGAAACCACAAGAGATGGGGAGCTAGGGCGACCCCCCTCCACAGGGGTGGATCAAACCCATTCATATGCAGTGTGAACCCTAAGTTAATGCAGTATTAACCCTGAGTCAACAGAGTTAACAGCCCAAAGCCAAGGAGTCTTTCTCTCCTGGGTACAGCGATTCCACCTGGCCACACCCCACCAGTATGGTCAGTGGTTGAGCTTTGACCTAGGAACCCAGAGGTCTCTGATGTGATTCCTGGTTCAATTCGAAGGTTGGGGACGCCATGCCTGGTGTGGAGGTGCAGGAGGCAACCGATTCTCACTGTGGGTGTGTATTGCTGTGGCTGAAATCAATGAAAATATGCTATTTTCTTTTAGAGAGTGTTCCAACTCACCCTCAGGTGGGAACTTCTGCACAGGTGACTGGGGTTCCTCAGCCAGAGAACTGGACTTATACGGATTCCCCACAGTACTTAATTAAAACTGACCGAGCATAAACTAAACACAGACACAAGAGTTAGATTGCATGAATCCCAAGGTTTATTTACCAGAGTCCTGGTGGTTTCCAGAAGCCCAGGCAGGTCACCTGGAGATCCGCGCCGACAGACACACACACTGGACAGGAACGTGCCGCTGCAGCGCCTCGGTCAGGAACGAGGCCTCAGAGGTTCGGCTCACAGGCAGAGTGACAGCTTCACTCCGGCAGAGCTTCATGCAGTATTTCGAACAGGGAGAAGAGAGTGGGAGAACACGTCAGGTGGAGGAGCCTTTTGTGGTTTCTAACCAGTGCCTCTAGGTCCCTTTATTTATGGCCATTTCTGGGTGTCTCTTAATTCCTTCTGGGTGCAACCAATAAATCTTCAGTGTGTCTAATTGGGAGCTCTCCAAGTACCTTTTTCCTCAGTTCCCAACTTTCCAGATAAACACTTGTTAGGGCGTTCACACAGTTACAACTTTCCAGATAAGCACACGTTAGGGCATTCACACAGTTAGGGGCTCAAAGTCAGTTTTAAAACTCAAGTTTTACAAAATGGATTCAAGTCACATTATATGGAGTTACTTTTACTAAGCCTAAAACACATTTCAAATAATTTCTGTAACTTAAAATAAAATCAGAATAAGATCAGAAATACAATTCACACTTAAACTATAAATCACTCATAAAAGTAAATGCTTTCATTCCTATTTTAAATCACACAAATAATTATTCTCACACTGTTTTAAATCCTTAAAATATAAATCAATCATCACACTAATATAACTATAACAGAGAAATGCAGTGGCGGCTGTGCCACTGCGGGTGTGGACTGTCTGTCAGGTGAGGTGGCAGTGGCAAGAAGCCTGAGAGGAGGCACTTCAGGAGGAAGAGGAATTAGTGTCTTGGGAGGACCCTGTCCTGGGGCTGCCAGACCGTGGCTGAAGGGTCACAGCCTGGGAGTGAGGGTTGGAGAGCGGAGTCCCTCCCAAAGGACCCGTAGCTTCCAGTGCCTGGTCAGTCGCCTCCGATTCTGAAGAAAAATGTTCTTTTTGTTTCTGTTCTTTGGAACTTTGACTGCAGAAGAGACCATTCAAACCCCCGATGCCCTCCAGCCAGTGTGGCTCTGTGGTTGAGCTTCCACCTGTGAACCTGGAGGTTGTGGGATTCCATTCCCAGTCAGGGCACATGCCAGGTTGTGGGCTCCATTACCAGAGTGTTGTATGGCAGTTCCCTGTGAGTTGTTTGATTGGTACCGTGAGTCAGATGTTGTCATCCCCCCCGCCACCGCTCCCCGTGTCCTATTTGAAGTGAAGTGATGAGTGTTGAGCTGTGTAAGTTGTAAGTTAATGGTGTGATGAGTGAGCAGCAGCGGGATGGTGGTGCTATTGAGTGTTAAAGATGTGCCATCACAAGCCTTGCCTATGAGGCGTCTTGATTGTGAGTGAAGGTATTGTCTTTACAACACGTGTGATCCCTATTCCTTTTACTTGAATTTGTGATTTTGTAAAGTGGGCTAGATGTGTCCTTTTTCATCTGCGAAATATGGTCATGTACTCATTGGTGAATTTTGTGAATGGTGTGACATTGAAAGTCCAAAATGAGTAATTGTTGAAAATGAAGTGCTGCAGCAAGAAAAGTGATGAAATGTGAAGGTTTTTATTTTTGTTTATTTTGTTGCACTCTGTGCGTGAATGTACTTTTTAAAAATGAGAATTTTTAAAGGAACTGTATCCTGGCATTGAAATTATGTTTGTTGGAATTGAATGATGTAGGAGATGGGAAGGAGAGGGAGAGAGAGAGAGAGAGAGAGAGAGAGAGAGAGAGAGAGAGAGAGAGAGAGAGAGAGAAAGAGAGAGATTTCTCTTTTCAACTTGCTCCCAGGAACTTCGTTGAGAGTTATGTTCTCTGTGTCTATGGTGCTGAAAGGTGTTTTTTAATTTTTTTAAAATTTATTTTATTGATTTTGTACAGAGAGGAAAGGAGAGAGATAGAGAGTTAGAAACATCGATGAGAGAGAGTCATCGCTCAGCTGCCTCCTGCACATCCCCTACTGGGGATTTGCCCACAACCAAGGTACATGCCCTTGATCGGAATCAAACCCGGGACCCTTCAGTCCCCAAGCCGACGCTCTATCTATTGAGCCAAACCGGTCTCAGCGCTGAGAGGTGTTTTATTGTCAAGGCGTTTCCCACGTTGGTTAGCAGGTGTCACCAAGTCCTTGCCGATGACATTGTCCTGAGAGGCTTCTCGCTTTGAAGGCGTTTCCTCCGTTTGTCAGCAGATGTCGCCAAGTCCTCGGTGATGGTACTTCTTTGTGTGCCTGTCCATGGTGCTGAGAGGTGTCTGGTTGTGAAGGCGTTTCTTGCGTTGTCATCAGGTGTCGCCAATGAGACATGTTTGTGTGTTGTTTTGCTGGGGAGTTTTCCTTGTGATGTGTTGGGGCGATGTGTGCCTTTGTAGCGTGTGTTGTGAAGGGGGTATCCTTTTAACGTCCCCCAGGTGAGGTGCCATTCATGGCCAAGGTGTGTTGTTTTTTGTGACGTCTCCTGAGGCGCGTGGTGACTCTGTGCGTTTTCTTTTTATTTAGATTTTTTTTTTGTGTGTGTGTGTGTGTGTGTGTGGAAGTTGTGGTTGTGTGTAGTCAAGTGTTTTGGAATGGAG